CCAACTCAAAAAAAAAAAAAAAAAAAAAAAAAAAAAAAAATTTAAAAAGTACCTTCTCTCCCCCCACCCCCAAAAAATTTAAGTTGGGTATGGTGGTTCATGCCTGTAATCCCAGCACTTTGGGAGGCCAAAGTGGAAGGATCACTTGTGCCCAGTATTTTGAGACTAGCCTGGGCAACACAGTGAAACCTCATCTCTACAAAATATTTTTTAAAAAATTAGCTAGTGGCATGCACTTGGGAGGCTGAGGCAGAAAGACTAACTGAGCCTAGGAGATCGAGGCTGCAGTGAGCTGTGGCCTGGGTGATGAGTGAGGCCCAAAATAAAATAAAAACTGGGTAGGTATGGTGGTGCAAGCCTATAATCTGAGCTAGTTGGGAGCTGAGGTGGGAAAGTTCGAATCCAGCCTGGGCAACATAGTGAGACCCCAATCTCTAGACAAACAAAAAAAGCCTAAAGCTACTTAACAGGAAACCACATGATTCTGTCAATAACATACACTAATAAATCTTTTAGTTGATAATAGGTTAACAATAGGAATATTCTTTACTCTTAGGAAGACCCACTCCAAAAAACAATATAGGTGTTCTTTATCTATACTGGTTGACCCAATCAGACAGTGGTTAAAAAATGCCTAAGCATTCTCTTAATTGAAAGTGATCCCATCATTTAGCAAGATCCTTGCCGCATTAATCTACATTCTTATTGCTTTTTAGGGGGACATATTTTTAATACTTGATATCTTGGTTACTGGGAAGGAAAAATAATTTCTTAGCTTTCTAACTTGCTTCAGGATCTCTTCTCTTGGTTGTTTGCTAAATGTCGGATACTCTTTGCTTTTTTTTTTTTTTTGCTTTGTTTCTTCTTGTGCCTATTTCATACCATTTCTTTGCCCTTTTTTTTGTTTAAAGTGTATAGAAATTGCCAGTCAGGCACACTGTCCTTTTCCTTCCCAACAAATTAACTAAACAGATAACAAGAATATTTTGTCTTTTTATAATTCAAGTTTCTATTGCACAGACTACTTTTTAAAATTTTATTTAAGACTTCTGGGTTCTGAAATTTCAGCATGCCTAGTGGCTGTTCCTGGATAACACAAGTGTTACCATTACCACTCCTGGAAAGAAGGAGCCAGACTACTTCATTAGCTGAGAAGAGAGGGATCAGGAACATTCTTACCCTACAATCTTCTCCATGAAGGCAGGCAAGTTCAGTCAAGTTAGCTGCTTTAAAGTATTTCCAGAAAAAAAAGTTTAAATATCACGTTTTCAAGAAAGGTGTCAAATCAAAATCAAGGTATTTGAAGCTTAGAACCCTTTTACCACAGACCAAATATAAAACAGTCACGAGTTGTAGGCCAAGCCACAAAAGCCAGTTTAAGCTCATTTTGCTGATAGTTCTGCCTTCTACAGAGGACAAAAGGGAAGGCCACATAGGCTTAAACAGCTGCCACGACAAACATCAGAGTGGAGACAGGAAGAGAAACAAGCAGCAAACCAAGGATGATGCCTCCGGCACCAGGCACTTATAGGTACAGGTAGATTAGATATAAGTCAGTTTTTCAAAGCTAGAGGATAACTTAACAACCCCCCATTTGAAAATGTATCATGGGTTAAACTGAAGATAAAGTAAACAAAAAGGAGCATGCCACATTTAAACCTAGATCTAAAACTTAATCCATATACGTTTCAACCTTCCTTCTGAATAATTGTCACCAGCAAATGCCATGTGTCATCTTTCAAAAGTGCCAAAGTAATAAAGGGGTTTAAAAAAAATCTGTATTCTTATAGATATATAACTTATAGTGTCATGATATAAAATCACAATTCCCATGTAATTTAGTCTCCCATCTTAGCAGTCCCAAAAAGTTCCCTTTAAATGTATTGTCAAAATCTCATACAAGTATATAATAAATTCTTTGAAACTTCTTTTTGATAGTTTGTGCTTGAACTGCTCAAATGTTAAAGAGCAAACACCTTCTTCAGTCTTAACACGTATCAACGAAGAGCTATTGTTTTTCATCTCCAGCAGTACATTTTTTGTCAAGAAATTTATTAACCTTTACAAACACTATTTTCACTCAATCGTTCATAAAAATGATTTATGATTAAATCTGTAATAAAACCATAACGTTCATCGATGCATTCAATACGACCAGTTTCATTCATGGAACATAATAAACCACTTTAAAACAGCAGTTTTCATTCATGTCATATAAGGCTGTCAAACTAAAAGCTGTTATCCAAGAAATCCATTTCACTTCCCATAATGTGGTGCATGTGCCCTCTAACAGTGGGGTCCTGAAAGTAGACTTGTCCCTTTATGGTCACCTTCTCAGTTTCTCTCAAACAAGTTTCACAACTGGAAAGTATTTGTGAGCAGAGAAGTCAAATTCAGGAGGAACCTGTAAAGAAAACCAGAAAGTCAATTAATGTATACACATATTCAGACAGTAAACAAAGACATTTTTACTTCAGAGTTTCCTGTGTTTTTAGAAATGAGGCAAGCCCAAGAGATTTAAAGCACTGGCTAAATGACAAAAAAAGTGAACTAACTTGGAGGAAAAAAATTATTAACCCGTTTCTGGGTTTGTGAAGACCATCAGAAAACATGATGACCACCTGTTTTCTACCTTCAGAGAACAGTTAACAAAGAAAAAGGGACTTAAATTACAGGAATGAAGTTCAGTTAGATCAGGGCTCACTCACAGTACTAAGCAATGAAACGCGAGTTATTAGTAAAGCAGAGAAGACAGAACGTGGGAAAACAATGAGAGTAAACAGAGAGAGTGACACTCAATGGGCAGATGCCACCAAAATGCCACGGTAGCTGACCTCTTACATAATGCAGAACTTCTGCTCTGATATGTTGATATGACACTGACAATGTAACATCACCATCAAGGAAAGCTTACAGACTCTCCCATCTTCTTAGTCATTAAAGAGTCTTTATTACAACACTCACTTTTCCAAAGGTAGATGATGTTTAAGCATCTCATGCTTCTCCCATAACTGTTTTTGTACATTTTCTTTTTTCCCACAAGCTATTCAGTAATTTATAAGGCAAAGGGAGGAGGACATAAGGGCAGACTTTTGAAATTTTAAGTTAACGAAAGATGTCTCAAAACAAAATGGCAAGCTCCAATTAATTTTTTTGTTCCTGAACATTTTAGAATGGTTTTTGTTCAGTGTCTTAACTTTCTGTAATCATATGCATGCATCTTATTGAAAAAATTGTGAAACTTCACAATAATTTAAGACCATTTATTTTCTCCACAATGTACTTACCTTAGACTCCTTTTTGTGTCCTCCTGCCAATAACTTCATAACCACAAAGTTAGGTTTGGCAACCTTTAAAATTCTATTGACCTAAAACATACAACATAAAACCATCAAAACATTAAAATTCAGTCAAAATTGATTTGTTATTATACATATTAGTAAGAACTTTGCATAATGGAAGTGTTGAGGTTTTATTAATAAAGGCATTTTAAAAGGATAAATAAATACTTTACTTCTTTTAGTAACACAGAATTCCATTTCAATTTCTGAAAACTTTGAAAGGGCCACCTATCTTGCTTTCATGAAAACAAAAGAACACAAGGCTGCAAAGTCCTGCAAAGGCAGCAAAAGATAGTGTTTGGAGCATGGACTCAAGTTAGGGTGCATGTTTTCCAATCCCCGCTTTGCCACTTACTAGTTGTGAAACCTGGCAAGTTCCCTAACTACTGTTCCTCAGTTTCTTCAGATGTAAAAATGGAGATAGTAACTTTACACATCTCACAAAGACTTGTGAAGATTAGACCCAAGCCTGGCAGGTGTTAAGTCTCCTTTGGGTGTTAACCATTATTATTTCTGATGACTGCTTATCTAAAAGACTTTACATAAACACATGAATAACAAGAGAATGGAATACTGTACTTCTCCCACAGAGCAATGCAATTCAAAGGAGAAAAATTCCCACTGCAGCCTTCTTTCTGACCTCTCTGGAAATACACCTTACTGCAAGGTCAGGACTTGCTCTTCTCAACTCCAGATCAGACATCCACCTGCCTTGGTGACAGCTCCATTTAGATGGCTAATAGGCAACTCAGACTTAGCATGTCCAAAACTGGTCAGAAGCCACTTCATAAAAAATGTTCGACCCCTTATTACCTCCTTACCTTCTGCAGTATTTCCCATCCCCATTTTCAGCTTGATTTTTCTCCAGACTACATAGTTGACATGTCTATTTACTGCCTGTAACCCAGTATAAAATCCCTTGCTGGGATTTCAGTCTATTTCTTTTCTGCTGGGGACACAGTAGGTGATCAATGAATCTTTGTTGTATAAATGAAGTTTCCACTAAATAAAATATGTCATCTATTATAGGTACCTCTTCAAATTTTTACACTGCTCCCTTTTGTATTTTCTTTTTGGCATATATGACTTTTTTTTTTTTTAAGTCTCTCTTCTATCCCTCTTCCAGGTATTTGCTCTTCCCCAAAGAAGCAAACACAATGATCGATTCTGGTGTATCTTTCCAGAAATATTTTATACTCACAAACATATACATAGTCTTCCTTGCCTCCTTCTGATGGGAGCTATACCATACTATGCACACTATTTTGTACTTTGCTTTTTAAATTTCTTAAATTCTTAAAGAACATTCTATTACAGAATATAAAGATCTTCTTCATCCTCTTTAGTACTCCACTATATGAATGGAGTACTAATTTATCAGTCCCCCTACTTCCTTCATTTTTTTTTTGCGATTAGAAATCCTGCTGCAAAACAACACAGGAATTCATATGGAAACACAAACGTCCAAGAATAGCCAGAAAATTCTCAGCAAAAAAAAAAAAAAAAACAAAGCAGGGGGTATCACATTACCAGACTTCAAACTCTACTATAAAGCTACAATCATCAAAACAGTTTGGTATTGGTATAGGAATAGGCATATAGATCAATGGAATAGAATTGAGATTCCAGAAGCAAAACCTCAATTCCTCAACAAACTCATCTTCAACAAAGCCTC